AAGGAAGGAAGGAAGGAAGGAAGGAAGGAAGGAAGGAAGGAAGGAAGGAAGGAAGGAAGGAAGGAAGGAAGGAAGGAAGGAAGGAGAAGGGAGGGAGGAAAGGAGTTTAATTTCAACAAGATTTTATCCATTTACGAGTTATTTGTATAAGATTAATATATACAAAGGTACATCAGATACAATCCCTATCCACAAAGAGTTTATCTTTATTTGAGAAAAAAATAGTATATTTAGAAGTTTTAAGCTATAGCACATTGAACATCAGATTGTGACATCCTACAGGAACCTGGCAGGTGCTCCTAACCCAAATCAGTGAGGCCTTAAAGAAGATTCCCAAGCACTGGTCCACAGTCTCCTACCAAATCCCCTGGAACCGCCTTCAGGTCTGCTAAATCAAAATCTCTTTGTGTGGGGTCCTGGCATTTACAAAAGTCCCCAGGAGAGTCTACGGTACAGCCAGGCTGCAGAGCCCCTGCCTTGAGTGATAGGTAGATGCTAACTTCACTCACAAGCTCTCTGAGAAGTGTAATTAAGAAAGACAAAACTTTCAGAATAGTAAGGGTTTCCCAACATTATGCAAATTCTAGCAATGTCTGAAGTCCATCTAATGACATGAAAACCTTAAATAGCAAGCCTATCTATAAAGATAATAGAGGAGGCCCCTGAGACTTGTTGGTTCATTTGTAAGAGTGATATTGAGCCCCAACCACAATGAAGGTCCAGGGGACACAGGCAGGGGCAGTAAAGTGCACTTACCCTCCAGAGTTGTGAGACCGTTGCAATTCAGATGCTGACTAGAGGGGTGCTTTAAGAGCATGGGAATCAGGGAGCTTTGGAGGGGACTCTGTGCGGCTGGTGTAAGCTGACTGAAGCTGAGAGGCAGGTGAGGATGGTGAGTCACAGAAGATGGAAGGATGTGACACGGACAGAGATGGGCGGGTAGCTGCTCTGACTAGATGAATCTGCCATCTGCAGCAGGAGGCAGAGTCACCCACGGAGAGACGGGTGGTGTTCCTGGGCAAGGGAGCAGCTGGCACAGAAAGGGGGCACAGCCTATTGCATGGAGAAACCCAAAGCATGACAAAGTCGCTGCCACACAGACCAAGGAGGAAAAAGGAAGTGTGCACCGAGGAGCTGGGGTGGGGGTTAGACCCCACATAATCTCCATGAGCTCCCTTCCCAAGCTACCTCCTCCCCCAAGACTGCTGCCTCTAACCTCTCCTACAGAAATTCTGGAACATTCTTGGGGGATGGGTGTTTATGGAGAAGATGCTGATCTGGCAGGGCTTTCTAGGCCTTGCCCAGGAATCAGGGTTTTAGCCTGAGAGTAGCAGGGTGGGTGAAGTAATCAAATTTGCATTTTTTAGAAGCTCCCTCTGGAAACCTTGTGGAGAAGGGACTAGAGGGGAGCTGAGTGGACAAAGGGAAGAGAGCTGGGGGACTCTTCTAGAGGTCCCGGCAAAGGAAGATGGTAGCTTGAGCTAATCGGTGCCCGTAGAAACGGAGAAAACTAACAAACTCAATTTAATTCTTTTCTTGTTTTTTTTTTCTTGCCTTCACTGCTCCAGCCCATATTTTCAGCTCCTCCCTGATCCAGATCCCACTCACTCCCTTGAGCCGAGAGAGACAAGCTCCCCTCCCCTCCAAGCTCTGGCCACACCACACGGATGTAATAAAGTGCTTATGTGTAAAGCCAGAGCCCCTCCCTCATTTTAAAAATTAATTTTCAAAATAAAGTCAACAAATAAAAATAAAAATTTCACATTGCAAAATTATCAACTTCCTAAGAATAAATAAATACAAGGCTCAAGAAAGCTTTTCAGTTGGCATTTCAAGAAACCCGTAGTATAATGAAACAAGACCCTTGCCACAGCACTAACAGGTGAGTGACACTTTTCCACTGCCGCGATGAGAGGGAGAAAAGGGCAAAGTATTAATTTGGAAGCGTTTCTTATCTATTTAGCATTAGCTTTTAAATGGAAATTTTATTCATTTAGATGGAGTTTAAGAGGAATGCTTGGGGTTACTTGATGGAGATGGGGCAGGTTGGATTTTCGGGCACAGGTCCAGAGGCTCCTCTGTAGGATGGCTCCTCTGCATGCATTCCTGTAGGAACTATACTGCATGCATTCCTGTGACCACATGTACCTTTCTACCTGGTCTTCTTTCTCCCTCTATTGTTGGACGGCATTAAGTAAGTCCTTTACCATAACGAAGCATCATTTCCTCCACTGGTCAGAGACCATCCTTTGATATTCTTGCCCCAGCCTCTGGGGTATTATGAAGATTGTGAGCAAATGTTTAATCTATTTTTGAAACCATACCCAAAGCTGATAGAGAACCAAAGGCCAGGAGTTAATTACTCAAGTAAATGAAACAGTGCTTGTTTTTCAGTGTCACCTACGTATTTTCAGATAAAACCATGTGGCTTGACAGCCATTGTGATCATCCCAGTCTCTAGCATTTGGCCTCCTCTATGCTTTACCAACTTAAAGGACTGACAGAGACCTCAAGAGGTCTCCAGTCTCAAAAGCCTCCATCAAGGAAGGCCACACCTACATGGCCTCAGGCAGAGCCATGAGTGTGGAGATTAGGCACATGGACTCTGGGCTCAACCAGACCAGCTCTTCTACTCACTCAGCTGTGTGACTTTGGGCATGTCACTTAACCTCTCTGAGTCTCAATGTCTAATCTGAAAAATGAGGGTAAGTTATGGTACCTACTTCATTGGATGGTTGTGAAGATTAAATTTGGTTAAATGACAAAATAATGATAAAAATAATGCCTTTAATATGATGGCAATTATATTTTATACAAAAAGAATTTCTAGTGAAGAATACTGTGCCGGTTTCCTCTATAAATGAATGTTTTTGGTCTTTCTTTTCTTATATGAAGCCCATCCTATGTTTCTAAATTTTGCCAGTAACAAACTAATTTACATTTGAAATTTACACCTGAAAATGAGAAAATTAACAGGAAACCATGCGCTGGGAACCATGATTCGCTCTGTTTCAGAGCACAGCAAGGAGCGCTGCTCCCACCTCTGCTCTTTTTTCTTTCTTCATGCTTCTTTGTTTCTATGGTTCTACTGACTTTCAAGTATGAACTGTTCAAGAGCCTTCTTCACATAGCCCCAAACTTACTCTTGGCTCTAAAACTCTCTCGAATACACTGAAACAATTAGAAATTTAAACATGAGCAAGAAATAAAAATAACTGAAAAATCATTGATTTCACGAATATCCAAGTTGCTCCATTTCTCATTAGATGAGAAAACTGTTCCAAGCAAGGTAAACAAACACATGCTACAGTGCATAACTCTTGGTCCATTCTATAGAAACACAACCCCTGATCTCATGGGGTCACATGAAGACAGGTTTCCAGTAATATTCTTCTTTCTGTTATTTAATTCTATTTTTTATTGATAGTAATATACCTACATCTAAAAATTAGAATAATAGTGGAAAGAAACAAATCATTCCTATTTCACCCTCTTAATACTACTTTTTAAAGAGGACCATGGTGTTGTTTTTAATATGTTTTTATTGATTTTAGAGAGAGAGGAAGGGAGAGGGAGAGAGAGAGAAACATCGATCATCAATCGGCTGCCTCCTGCACCCACCCCACTGGGGATTGAGCCCAAAACCTGAAACCCGAGCATGTGCCCTGACCGGGAATTGAAGCAGCGACCACTCGGTACATGGGAAGACTCTCAACCAACTGAGCCACACCGTCCAGGGCTTAATTACTACTTCTATCTTTAAAATATATATATCACTTTAAAATGCAGTGCCATGATTCTACTTCTCTCTCAGGTTTATCACATTTCCAGAAACACGTGGTTCAAAATGGAGACACGAATGATCAAGAATGTGTGCGCCCCTGCGGTGGTGCTTGGCGAGCGGATTGTCATCGTGGGAGGTGAGTCTGAGCAGAACATTGCCAGGCTGGGCACAAACTTGGCATCTCTCATGGAAAAAGGGTCACTAACAGACAGACGTTCTGCAAGACTGTCTGTACAATCATATCCCTCTAGCTCAGGGAGTGGGGACAACTTGGCAAAGTTCTTTCCTCATCTACAAGTTTCTCCCTGTCGTTTTCTGTAAACAAGAATGAAAGAATACCTATTTCACAGAGTTGTGATAATGAAATGTTCTCACGTATTGAAAGCATGTAGCACAATCCCAGACACATGGCAAACACTCAAAACACGTTTGCTCTTGTTAATATCAGCTACTGATGGAGCATTCCTCTGTACTCACAGGATGGTGTCATGGCAAGAGGACTGGTTTGGGGGTTGGAGAGATCTGGGTTCACATTCTGACTCTTCCAGTCACTGGGTATACTCTTCGGCAAGTAATTACTCTATTTGTGCTTCAGTTTGCTCGTCTGTAAAATGGGGATCCTCAAAGGACCCAACTGATAGGGCTGTTGCGGGGACCCATTTCTGAGTTCCCAAAGGTTCCTTCTTTGGATTGCTCTAGCTTCTTGAATAGACATGAGAGAGAGATGGAGAAGCCAGTGAGGCTGAGAACGCCACTGGAACCAGGAGGCTGCTCTAAACTGAAAACTGGCTTATGCGCCGTCTTAACTTGGGGTTAGGAATGCCCCACATTAAGGGCAAATCCCATCTCTGCCACACACCACACCTTCGGTAGGTTACTGAAATCTTCCACCCTGTAGCTCAGATTCCAGCCTCAATGTTAGGCGATGGCAGAGATCAGACACATCCCACACTACTGACTTCTAGTCCCAAATGAGCAACACTGACCTTGCCGCTATGCCACTTGGCTTTCAGGTTACACGAGGAGGATTCTAGCTTATGACCCTCAGTCCAACAAGTTTGTCAAGTGTGCGGACATGAAAGACCGGAGGATGCACCACGGGGCCGCCGTGATGGGGAACAAGCTCTATGTGACGGGTGGACGGAGGCTGACCACGGACTGCAACGTCGAAGACTCGGCCTCCTTTGACTGCTACGACCCCGAGACGGACACTTGGACATCCCAGGGACAGCTGCCTCACAAACTCTTTGACCACGCCTGCCTCGCTCTCCAGTGCATTCCCCACACTTCCACCTCCCCGTGAGGTGGACAAGAAACCTAAAAATGACCTGTCTTAGTCCAGGTGCTCTTGTTGCCGGAGACAAAACCCAACTCCAAAAGGCTTAACCCTAAACACGTACAGCAGGAGCTCACAAGACTGAAAGGCCCACAGTCTGGAGGCCTGGAGCCAGGCATACTGTTGGGGAAACTCTCTCCCTTTCCCTCTCTCTCCCCCTCCCTCCCTCCTCTCCCTGACTTTCTTCTACAAACAAGTGTCTTTATCCACACAGTGGGAGGACAATGGCAACTGATGTGTCCAGACTCACATTTTCTAGCTCTGAATCTTCATGAGAAACTACCATTATCCATATTATAGCCAGTAAAAAAAATCAAACCAATGCTGATTGGCCCTTTTTGAATTCCATGTGACCTCCTGAGCCAGTCGCTATTTCCAGGGATCATGCTCCTATAACTGGCTAGTCCTGGATGGTGTCCCCTACAGGCAGAGGTGGGGTTAATGATTGTTGTTGACAGCCTATCTGAACTGCACATAATGGCATAGAAGTGGTTCCCCAAATGAAGACATGCTGAGCTGACTAAATCCACATCTGCCCAGAAGACCATGGAGATTGGGAACAAGAGAGCTAAGAGATCCAAGAGTCCCTGGCAGCACTTGGTCCAGGTGGCAGCGTGAGAGCAACTGGCCATGACTGTGTTCCTCTGAGTCTAGGGATGCAGTGCATTGGAATTCCAGAAAGTATGTGCAGCTCAGAATCTAGTGTTTGCAGCATTGTCTGTGCTGCCAGAATAAAGTTTGTTTCTGTTGCCAAGTGATGTTTTTCTCCAGCCTCTGGGGAGCTATAAACCTGCAGAATTAATCAGGATTTTCATTTTGGTAAATGTTATGAAAATTGATCTTCTGAGGAAAGCCAACAAATTCCTTCAGAGATTACAGCAATTATTGCCCTCCCAGTGCTGGCGCTGACTTTCCAACTGTGGCCCTCTTTATCTCAAAGTGCCTCCCACATTGGCCCAGTCCCAACCTCAGGAATAAACTGAAGCTGGCCACACATTACAGTCACCTGGGAAGGTATTTGAAAATGGGACCGACCCCCACTGGAGATAGACAGATGGGGATTCTCAGAGGTAGGGCCCAGAGCGCTGTAGTTTTGAAAAGTCTCTCAGGTCATTGTAAGGTGCAGTCAGACCACCACACTGCCCAGCTGTGGGCGCTGAAGACCTTCATGTGCTGGTCCCATCCCCATCCTGTCCCAGCCAGCCCTGTCCCAGCCCAGCAGTATGGGCAAAGTCCTCTCTTGCTGCCCTGAGTCGGGCACCGGAGTGCCCCCAAGCTGAAGTCTTCCTCCCTGTCCAGCTCACAGGTCCATGTTCTGGACTTTTCCTTTCTTCTTAGTTTGTATTTTTTACACTTTAGTTCCTCCTGCTGGGGTCTGAAGCTCTGCCCTGGTCCCATACCATTTGGCTGTGGTCCAGACACCTGCCCAGATTGTCAGCCCCTGCTCCTCGGCCTGGATGTTGTCCCCTTAGCTGTTGGTTAACCCCTTACTCCAACTATTCTCTTTGAACCTCTCTACTCAGGCTCTTCATCCCCCCTCTCCCTGAAAATGTACTTGTAAAGGCAACCAGTGACTCCTAACCCGGCTGCCCATTTTCATTTCTCATTGAACTTGACCGGTCAGCAGCATACGGCACAGCCGATCTTCTCCCATCTGAAAAGACCTTCCTCACCCCACCTCCAGGACACCACTCACCCTTCTCCCAGCCCCTGCAGCTCGTTCCTGTCTCCTCATGTGCCGACTATGAATGGTGGTGCTCCCCAGTGCTCCGTCCATAGACTTTCTTGTATCTCCTCTCACTCCCGGTGAGCAAGCTCAGCCAGCTCAGGCTTTGAACACCACACAAACGCTGCTGATCCGTTTCCTCTCATTCAGCACTCCACTGCTCGCTCTCTGTCTCCACTTTGGTGTTAAACAGAAATAGCACTAAATATGTTCAAGATCACTCCCTCCTCACCAGGCCTGCTCCTCCTCTAGGCTTCCCCATCCTGGAACAGGGCAACACCTTTCTCCCGGCTTCTCAGGCTCAAAGCCTTGGGCACTGCTCTTGACGCTTTTCTATCATGCTCGCCTCCATTTGTTCCAAGTATATCTGGAGCCCAACCGCATGTCATGACCCACAGCTCTAAGTCAAGTGCAAGCTGCCATCTTTTCTCACCTGAGCCGTTACAATCGTTTCATCACTGGTCTCTCTGCTTCCATCTTTGCCCAACACAGCAGCCCATGTGATCTTCTATAAGCATAAAAGTAAGTCAGAATAGGTCATTGCTCTGTTTAAAATCCTCCAAAATCTTCCCAGCTTTCTCAGGTGACCTTCAGGCACCTGCAAGATTGTTCCCCCACCCAGCCCAGCCCAGCTGTGACTCTACTCGCATCTCCTGGGCTCATCCCCCACGATATCCCCCACACCCACCCAGTGTTAGTCATACTGGCCACCAGGCTCACACATTGCAAGCAAGTCTCCACTTTCTGTTTGGACTCTTGCTGTGCCCCCCACCTGAAAACACTCCCGGGATATCATACCCAGGTGGTTCACTCCTTCACCTCCCTCAGGTCTCTGCTAAGTGATGCCTTCCCTGAGGGCCCTTATCTGATCCACCCACAAGTCCTCTCAGTGACATCCTAAAATAGACCACAAACACCTCCAGTCCACTCATCTCCATTGCCCCTTCCCCGAGTGCACCATCCTCACCTCCTGACCAGCCTCCTAATGCGCTCACCTACTTAAAATGATTTTGCGGCTTCCCAGAGACCTTGGCATAAGCCCTCAATCCTTAATCCAGCCTTTAGGGCCTTCTAAGGTCCAGCACCTATCTCCGTGGCCTCATCTTTTGCCCCTCTTGCCTCCCTCACCCCCACAGCTATCTCTGCTCCACCCACCCTTTATTTCCCCTCCTCTCTCTCTTGCCTCAGGGCCTTTGCACATGCAGTTGTTCCTGCCTCATACATGCCTCTCTCACCTCTTCGCCTGATGCAATTTCAGTTTATGCCTTCATACCAGATTAAAAGTCACTGCACCAAGGAGGCCTTCCATGTACCCCACCCACACCCCCACTCCAGCCTGGGTCAGCTTTGCCATTAAATGTCCCCATCGGTCCCTATACTTTCTGTATTTTTACCTTTGAGGCTCTTATCCTATTTGTAATTACTATCTTCCCTTCTAGACTCTTGTATCTGCCCTGTTCTCTGCATTCCCAGGGCTGGACTCAGTGTCAACCACCTATATATAGATTTTCAATAAATATATGGTGAATGGCTTAGAGAATTAGTCAATGACATACAGGCCAAATCTACAGAGGGTTGTGCGTGTGCGCAGGAGGTGAAGCGCCCCAGATGATCCTGCCTTTCTCTCTCCCCCACCCTTTCCCAAAGGAGTCTGGCGAGCCTGGGTGGGGGAAGAAGAGGTGCGGTCTGCCTGGCTCAAGCCTGGAGGGTGAAGGGTTTTATTTAAAGAAGCCTATTTGCCTGGCATTAAAAGCGGGACCCTTGCACTGGTAAACTCTGGGGCTCCCAACAGTCCTGTCAGGGACTTGCTAACGCCCAGACTTTCTCTTCCCTCCGTCTCAGTCCAGTCCTTAATAAGCTGCCAGCATTTTTGGCTACTCGGAGCTTGTCCAAGTCTCCTTGGGGCACAGAGCAACTATGTAAATTGCCCACTGGGTTCTATAAAGAAAGATGGCACTAGGGCCAGGCACGTTTGGACACACGTGGCTGGCCAGCTTCGTGAATCAGATAAGACGCCTCTGTGGCAGGTACATTCACACAGCTGGGCCCATATCTGAACTGGTTGCAAAACAACCCTCAGGACACAAGGCATCCTTTCCAACCTGCCGAGGAGGATTCAGTCCAAAAAGAAAGAGAGGTTTTGGCACCAGGCTTCCTTGGTCTCCCCGGCTGAGCAGAGTCACAGTACAGAGCTGAGGTCAAAATATATTTAGCCGGCAGCAGTTAAACTGAAACATTTCAAGTTAAAAATGTCAACTCTCCTGATGAATCATTTCAACAGGCAACAGGGAAGGAGGGGAAGTGGAATGAGGGCTAAGCAAGAAAACATTAATGAAAATATCAAACACCCTGTCCCAACGTAAACCAGTGAGCAGGACAGGAGCCTGAGCAGAGAAACAGTGACAGATGGAAGAAGCTGCAGCAGGGAGAGTGGGAACTTGGGCCCTGGAAACCTCTCCCAGCCCAGACCTGACTCCCAGCAGGCAGGGGCCTTGGAAGAAGTTCCGCCAGGAGGCCAAAATGACAGAGACATGGCCGCCCTCTAGCAGAGCAGCGTGGCCCCAGCAGGACAGAATGGCTGGCATGCTGGCCCTGCCCCGTTCAGACCCTTCCTGACTCTCTCCCCATGAGCAGTGTGGCTCCAAAGGTGAGCTCCTGACCTGGAGCCTCGTCTCCCCTTTAGGTGCCTCTTTCTTGTGACCCTGCCTCTCCTGCATCCACTCTCTCTGGTGAACAACAGAAAGTCCCCAGTATCCACTTCTTAAAACCAAAGTCCCAACCTCAGCTGAATTTACCTCTGTCTCCTGTACAAAAAACTATAACGTCCCAGAGGACAGGGACTGTAACAGGTTTTACTCAAACATGTTGTCCTTCTTAACATGTCTGACACTCCATGCCCTACTCCAACATGCTCTGCATGTCCATGCCTCCGTGCCTTTGCACATGCTATTCCCTCTGCTAAATTGCCTTTCCCTGACTTACCTGGCCTTTGCTTCCTCTGTGGAGTCTTCTCCAACCTTTCTCCCCTCCCTCCCTTTACTCCAGCTCCTTTCACATCGTAGCACCATAAAGACTTGTTGAATGGAACTGAAGGGGAGCTCTTCACAGGGCAGAGACAGAGACTTGGCCTATGAACCTGTAGGCCAAGTTGAGTCAGTACCTGGGACACAGACGATGCTGACATATTTGGGGAAAGAATAAGTGGATGCATAAGTGAATGGGTCCCGAACACCATTGGGCTGCTCTGAGTGAAAACAAGGGCTTAATTATCAGACACATCGGGGTTTAAATCAGCCAGGAACAAATTGTAT